AGCATCCGTGATGACAGCTTCCAGGGAAGCCCCTTGGACTTTGAGGCCCTCAGTCTCAGCCTGGAGCCCACTGATGTTGATACAGGATTTTTCTCAGCCACCTTGCCAATCAGAGACTTCTGGATGGTGATGCCCCTGCTGGGGCATGGGCTCACCACAGGAGACAGACACCCTGTCTACTCAGCCAACCAGGCCATGCCTGGCTTGCATGCTGGCATGGATCCCATGGCCACTGAGACTGTGTACTCAGTCCCTGGCAGGAGGGGGTGTGTGAGCAAGAATGCAGAGTCTGGCCAGCTGCTCCAAGCACCAGCACAGGAGCAGGCTCCATGCAGGACTTGCAGCTGGACCAGGTGTGTCACAAACAACTCCTATGGTAGACTCTTGTGTCCAGATGAGGGGAATGCAATGGCACCCAAACCAGGGTGTCTGTGATCCCAAAACCCTAGATGGGGTATTACAGCATACTAATAGCTTCCTCCCATGGCTCTGGAACTGGCTTAAACCCATTGCTGTTTCCCATTGTGTGGGGTGGCTGCCCTCCACCAGCAGAGGGCAGAGGGCCACAGTGTTACAGCCTTCTTTCTATGCACATTCAGTGAGTCCCAAGTTCTTGTCCCACATCCAAGAAGAATGAGGTTATGCTGAAAACTGAAAAGTGAGGAGGGTGGAGAAGAGTTTTAGTAAGTGACAAAACAGCTCTTAGTGGAGAGGAGATGCAGGGTGGTCCCCCACCAGAAGTCAGGTGGTCTCTCTCCCAGTGTGGCTGGGTCCAGAGCTTTTATGAGCTCAGAATGGGGGAGTGCATGATGATTGGCTTGTGAGTGTGCAAAAAATGCTAAAACAAAAGTGTCACTTGAAGGTGGGTACAACAGTGTAAAAAACCAATTAGGGAAGAGTAGCTATATGTAAAATAGGTGAAGGGTAGGGATCAAACAGAAGAAAGCACGCCAAATGGGAAAAGGTTCTCAATCTGGTCTGTGGATTTACCAGGGACTTATAGCTAGGCTTTAAACTGCCTTCAGCTTGAAACTTGGGTTTCACCAGGGACCAGCCCCTGTCTTCCTAGGATTTGTCTGCCTCCTACCACTAACAATATTACAGTTCATCTCAGTGATGTCCATCTTTGTGTGACACAGCTCATCCCCATGCTTCCCAGCCAGCATCTGCAGCTCCTCATACTTGATCTGGTACATGTGCTCAGCCTTGGCCAGGTTGTGGTTGACAATGTCCTCATACTGGGTCTTGACGTCAGTAATGATGCTGTCCATTTCCAGGGAGTGGCTGTTCTCCATAGACAGGACCACAGATATCCCTGAGATCTGGGAATGCAGCTCACAGATACTCTCTTTATACATCTGCTTGAGGAAGTTGATCTCATCAGTCATCCCTTCCAGGAGAGATTCTTGCTCTACCTTGTTTATGCAAGTTTCATCCACATCCTTCTTGATGAGGACAAATTCATTCTGAATTTCTCTATGTTTATTGTCACCCTCGTACTTATTATTCAAGGCCTTCAGCAACCCCTGCATGTTGCCAAGCTCTGTCTCCAGCTTCAGCTTCTCTTGGTCCAGAGTGTCCCACTGCCTCCAAAGGTTGTTGATATAGCTCTCAAGCATGTTGTCCATGTAGCTCTGGGCTGTCTTCTGCTGCTGCAGGAGGCTCAACTGGTCTTCAGCATCTTCTGCTGCTGCTCCAGCAGTATACCTTGTTGATGAAGGAGGCAAACTTGTTGAGGATGTTGATCTGCCCCTTCTCCTGGGTGTACGTGGCCTGGATGTTGTAGTCTACCTTTGGCTTAAGGGGACTCAGTAGGCTCTGGTTCACCACGATGGCTATGAGGCCCCCCAATATCACTGGCCCCACCATAGTCTCCACCCAGACCCATGCCAGTTCCCTACCCACCCTAGAAACTGCCGCTACTACCCATTTGGGAGAAGTTCAAGGAGTTGTTCCTGGTTCACACATGTAGGAGTAGCTGCTGAAAACCTGGAGGCCAGAGATGGACACCTTGTAGGACTTCTGGGTCACCCTGATGGATATGGTGAAGGCAAGAGTGGAGGCAGGCAGGCCAAACCAAGTGGAAATTTGAGGAGTGCAGAATCTGCTTCCAGGTACAATTATCATCTTAGAGAGACAGTTAGCAACCACCTGATGGTCATCTGACATTCCTGGTTTTGTGGTGGTGGGGGGCCTCTCCTGCCCTGCTCATGTCTGACTAGCTGCCTACTGTTACAGAATGCCTAACCCAGCAATGCAAAATGCAAATACATTGTCCTGTAGACCTGGTAACATAAGAACTTAAAATGGAGAAGAAAATTCTATAGTGAGTACAAAGATATCATATGTATATATCCCTTATGCTAAAATATGACTCTGAAAATAGGTATTCCTAACAGCACTGACCAGATGGCCCTGTTCAAATGCAAGTTGCCAATCTGAACCACATGAAGTACCAATGCAATGTGAAAGCCATTTATTAGCAATGCAAATGTCAAGCTACCTCTGATTTTCCCAAAAGCAGGATAAACAAAATAAATGAGCCATTAGGAGGCACAGGTGAGATACTCAGGCTTCAAGAACCCTGCTTTGATTACTTTGAAAGGCAGAGAAAGGCAGCATAACAAGTTTCCACTTGAACAGAGTGTGTTTATTCAGCTTGATGCAAGTCAGAGGAAATAGCCCTAATAGTTTTGAATTGCTATAAAAGCTTGTATGCACTTGTCAGATTTATGCGTTTAGGCCATAAAAGCAAAAGAGTCTTAGAGGCATTTTCTAAATTAAGCGATTCAGGTATAAATTCAAAGACAGAGAAGAAATGCAAGCTTCACATACACCAGAGCACGGGCCCAAAATGACCTTTCTTTTACTTTTACCCTAAGATTTCCTTTTCATCCTTCAACACTAGCTCGAATATTTCTGCCTCAAGTGAAGTGTCTCCTGAACCCCTCTACCCATCACTTCTGCCAGCTGATGACTTCCAGCAACTTGTACATCCCTCCATTGGAACACTTTGCTTTATAATTATTTATTTAACTTCCTCTTCTTGTGTTCTGTGATGTCTTCAGAGGCAAAGATTTTATACTATTTGTGTCTCCAAACTTCAGAAGCTTTCACAGAAAAGATTCTAACCATGTATATGCGCAACCAAAATCAAGAAAAAGAGATGATCCCTAACACTTTAGTTTGCTAGATTTTTGTTGAGCTCATAGTGATGCTTATAAATTTGATAGTATAATGCTAGATAAGTATTTTAAAGGATAATCGTACAAAAAGAGTAAAATCATGACTCTCATGGGGATAGAAATTGAGCACTATTAAATATTTTAACTATAAATTAGAGAATCAGGCAGATGTCACGACTTTTCAAAGGAGAAGTAAAACAAGGATAAATGTGTATAGAGTAAACTTTCCTCAGTAAAGAAACGTTGAACTTAAATGATAAACCAATGCAACTGGCTTCTTTTCCATAGGAAGAGAATGGAGGAAAGTCAGTTAAACCTCCCCACCAGACATAATTCATTTGCATTTCTAGGAACATGAATTATTTTGCATTGCTATCAGTTATCTACAATTTGCAAAGTTATAAAATACTGCAAAGGCTAGACTCAGATAACCCGGAAGTGCATTGCAATGAGTTTAATATTTGTGTCCTCCAAAATTCATATGTTGAAACCTAACCCCAAGGTAATGGTATTTGAAAGTAGAACCTTTGGGAAATAATTAAATCATGAGGGTGGGGTGCCCATGAATGAGATTAGTGCCCTTATAAAAGGGACCCCCAAAAAGCTCTTTCTACCAGGTGAAGATAAAAGAAGTCAGCCAACTACAACAAAGGAAAGTGCTCTCCACAGAAACCTACATTACTGGCACCCTGATCTTGGACTTCTAGCCTCCAGAACTGTGAAAAAATAAATTTCACTTGTTTGCCAGCCACTCTGTTTATGGTATCTTACTATAGCAGTCCAAGCTGGTAAGACAAATCTGCTGTAATCTAAATAATGCATTATTTTTCGTAGAAGACATCCAATAATCTTTGTTATCTAGTCCAAATTTTCTTACATTGTGTCATCTTAAAGGCGGAGTGTGAGATCTTATGTTCTTTCATTGAAAGGTCAACGTATGATCAAAAATTGTTTTTGTCCATCTGTAAGACAATATTTCTAAACTCCTCTCAACACGTTGTTATATCATTAGCCCTTCCATAGTAATGAACCAATAACAACAAAAACTAACATTTGGGAAATTACTTTTTGTCAAGTAGTGTGAAGAGGGCTTTATCTAAAGAATTTCTTTAAACCTCATGCCAACCTGATGAGGTAAAAATTTCATTATACTCATTTCACAGAAGAGAAAACAGATCACTAACAAAGCCTCTAAATTACAGAACCGGCATGTATCAGACCTGAATTCTAAGCAGAAAATTCTCTCTCTGCTGTCTAATATGGTAGCCAATAGTCACATGGGGCTACCGGGACTTGAAATGTGGCCAACTCAAATTCTGATGTTCTGTAGATAAAACTAGGCAATTAATTTTTAAGACTTAGTGCCATAAAAATATTTTGAAGTTATAATGGTTTGGATGATTGAGTTAAATAAAATGTATCATTAACTTTACCATCTGTTTCTTTTTACCTTTTAAAATGTGGCTACTAGAAAATTTTAAATCACCTATGTGGCTCACATTATATTTTTATTGATTAGCCTACACTCTTACTGGCAGACTTGAAAGACAGAAAATTGCCAACAAAAATCAAACAAGCTCTCTTTTAAAGAAATGATAAGATTAAAATATTTATGATATCAAAATATCCATCACTATTGTAGTGGACACATGTAATTAGCAGAGAATTTTCTGCATAATGTAAAGAAGAGACAATCATACAAGAAGAGACAATCCCACAATTAGTGATTCTTAAATATCAATAGTGTTTTTAACACCAAAGATGGTAGTCTAGAGTACGGAGTCATCATGACAGGGAGTAAAGCAGTATCCATACCTGATTTCAGGAAGCCTAGCTTCACGTCTCAGTTCCACACTGACTTTAGCCAGTAACTATGTGAGTTGCAATTTTCTTATCTGTAAAAGGAAGACATGTAACCTTGAAATCCCTTCCAGCTGAAGAAGCTCTGTGATCATACTGATCTTCACCTGGTACCTTCTTCAAGATGATTTAGAACAGCTGTTCTCAAACTTGAGGCTTGGAGGGTCATTATGCCACAGATTGCTGGGCCCCACCTCCAGGGTTTCTGATTCAGTGGGTCTGGGGCAGAGCTGAGAATTTGCATTTCTAGTAAGTCCTTAGGATGTTGATGCTGCTGGTCTGGGGAACACACTTAAGTCACTGACTTAAAACAACATCACCTGTAATCCCAGCACTTTGGGAGGCCGAGGCGGGCGGATCACAAGGTCAGGAGATCGAGACCACGATGAAACCCCGTCTCTACTAAAAATACAAAAAATTAGCCGGGCGCAGTGGCGGGTGCCTGTAGTCCCAGCTACTCAGGAGACTGAGGCAGGAGAATGGCGTGAACCCGGGAGGCGGAGCTTGCAGTGAGCCGCGATGGCGCCACTGCACTCCAGCCTGGGCGACAGAGCAAGACTCCGTCTCAAAACAACAACAACAACAACAACAACAACAACAACAACAACATCACAGAGCCTCTCACATGATGAGCCATAGGGGCTGCAGTAAAGGCAAAGTAGACTTCACTTACCTCCACTCCAAAGGTGAATTGAGTGTTTGAGCTTTTTCAAACCCTTTTATTGAGGATGATTCAAAGTTTTACACTCCCATCCAGAAAGGGGAGAGTTTAGACCAACAATGACTTTAATGACTTTTTTCCCTGCTAGCATTTTGCCTTTAAAAAAAATTTTTTTTAAGAATTACACACTCTGAAGGGAAATGTCAGATTCTAAGATTTTTTTTTAAATTGCTTGGTATTCTAGTGTAAGCTATGTTGCACTTTTAAATATGAGTGGTGGGCAAAAATCTCCACCTACAATGTTATATAACAGACACACCCACACCTGTATTTCTATTGATCTAATGTAGACTATTTATTTTCAAAGGCAGTATAATGATAAAAGGAATGCATTTCCCTCTGCCATTTTAAATTTTTATTTACTTTTACATTATTATAAAGTATGTTTTGTACTTTTGGGGGTAAAATCAGCTTGTTCTAGTTACATTTATAAAATTTAAAATCTTCCCCTGTTCTCAATGTTTCAACATTTTCATTGCTTTGCATCTGGATATTTTTAGGACATAATGTGCAACTTTATGGTTCTACGAAAACATCAACTGTGCAAATATGTATTAAAGCAGTGGGAATTTGGGCTACCTTGTCCGGACAATGCTGACAGAAGCGTTGTACACATGAGATGGCAAATATGATTTTTAAAATAATAATGACAAAAGCATCTACCCAGTGGGAAACATAATGTAGATTTCTTTATTGCTATTCTTTGTTCTATTTTTGTTTTAATAATTTAACCTAGATATTAGTAGAAGTGCTGTGGAAATCATGAGCCCTCTGTCTTAATTTCATTTTTGAAAAAAATTCAACTTAAATTGTCTATTTAAAAGCTTTGTATTTTTCTGTTAATTTTTCTTGAGGATTCTAATTAAGCATTATCTCTGTGAAAAATAAAATTAGTAGATATTAATAGTATTCTTTTACAGATAAAAAAGTTATAAAGTGTTGGTAAGTATTCTTACATCAAACTTACTGGTTTGAAATTATCAGGAAAATTACAAAGTCAATTACCCAGATGGTGTGATGTGGTCAAAACAATCAACAAGGAATGGTTTTGTTCCTATTCTTTGTCTGCTGTTTGGTTTATGTGGATGTAATCTATATCTCTGGCATGATTAATACCATAGCCATTTTAATACTTATTTTTAAGTACAGAGCTTTCATGATTATTGTGCCCTATCCTCATCATTAATAATGGCCATCTGCACTTCCTTTCCTTTAACGAGTGGTGTGATTTTACTTTGTCATTAGTATGTTCTGGGAATAGCACTGTTACTGCTATACTCAGACAGAAAACTGCCTGAAGTAATTACAGAACCCATCTGAAATTTCAAAATTAAAATATTTTCCTCAAGCCTTATAATATGCATTTCAAGCACAAGCTCACCACCATTTCTAACTAATAAACATTCAGGAAAGCATTTTTGCCAGATCAATTATTTTTTAAATCTGAAATGAATAAAATCAGAAAAAACCATTTGCTCTTCTAACTCTGTTCTTTTAACTGGTACCCCAACTAAAGATAAACTTTATTACTATTTTTAAGTTGCCCTCTGCTTTTCTTATTAAAATGTAAAGTAAACCTGGATTAAGGAGAAAAATGAACCATACTTTGTTAGATAGTAATACCTAATATCAGGACTAATGTCTACACATTTTGGTCATGTCTACATAGTCCTCTAAAGGTTAAGTGCTTCTTAATAGTCTGAAATCACTAGAAGTTAAATTTATGTTCTATAGCGCCAAATAATAATTTTGAGTCTGTATTTTTCATTTTCTCAAGTTCTTAAATTCATATCATTAAACATAATAATTAAGGCATAAGTAGGCTAAAAAGCTTAAATTACTCACAGAAGCCACCAAAATCAGAACTACACTTTGAAGAACAGCCTATTGGGCTCTTTAATGCAAAGTCTGATAATGTTCAGCCACTCTGACTTGTCAATCAAAGGGGGTTATAATGTAACTAATCTGATGTCATATCACACTCTATATCCCAAAGATGTTGAACTGATTACATGTGTTTACTATTATTATCATTATTATTGCTACATATATTATCATTACACTTCTTAATAAAGACATCAGGTGTCTTTATGATGTGTCCTAGGCATCATAAACTGAGTGTGTTGTCCAACAGACTATTTCCTATTTGAAGTTAGGCTCTAGAAACTTACATAGAATCGGAGAACAGAATTGGAAATCATGCATCCAGATAATTTAGAGAGCTTATAAAAATTAGCATGGTGTAATTCTAGGGTTTTATAGACAAAATCTATATCTCTGATTTTGATTAGAATTCCAGTCTTTATTACCCATTTTGAATGTTCCTATCTTCCATGATAATATTCTGTAATTCTGATTTGATAGGTCTGGGGTGGGGCCAAAGAGTTTATGGTTTTGAAAGCTCATCAGGTGATTCTGCTGTGCAGTCAATTTGTGAATGCTTTAATCATACAGGTGGGGATATTAAAGAACAGGAGATAAAGTGACTTAACCTCTTACGGTTAAGAGGCAATTTACTTCCTCAGAACTTCAAGATTTCTCAGACTTCAATATTTAAATGGAAATATTTTTAAGAAAGGTTGTGTCAAATAAAACACAGTCAGATTAAGAAATTGGATATGTAACTAAAAAGAGTTGAGATTCCCGGGGTAACAAGGATAATAAGGAAATTAAATTTATTTTCACTTTTATTATTACCTTACCCAGGAGGTAAGTAGAGAAAGGAGTCCTTGCCCAATTGTAAGAGTATAAAGATAAGAATAGGGATAATGTGGCCGGGCATGGTGGCTCACACCTGTAATCCCAGCACTTTGGGAGGCCGAGGCGGGTGGATCACCTGAGGTCAGGAGTTCGAGACTAGCCTCCCCATCTCTACTAAAAATGCAAAAATTAGCAGGGCGTGGTGGCGGGTGCCTGTAACCCCAGCTACTTGAGAGGCTGAGACTGAAGAATCACTTGAACCTGGGAGGCAGAGGTTACAGTGAGCTGAAATCGCGCCGCTGCACCCCAGCCTGGGCAACAGAGAGAGGCTCCGTCTCAAAAAGAATAGGGATAAAGTAACTGAAGCTCTGAAAGTCTCAGTGACTTTCCCCAAATTACACAACTTTGTATCAGAGTTATGGCCTAAACTCCAAGCCAGGACACCAAACCCCATATTCTGTCTGATGTTTAGTGTCCCATGATGGTCTAGTTTCTCTTTTTACCCCAGGCTGACCTCTCTAGGGCAGAACATATTCTTCAGGAAAACCAAATTTTTAAATAGCACAATCAGTACCTGGAACAAATCCTAACATATAATAAGTACTCAAAATATATACATATTTGAATAAATAATCCATAATAATTACAATTTTCCTATAATGTGTTAAGCTCAGATTCTTTTTTCTGCTTATTGTACCATCTTTTCTTCAATTAACTTTGCTTGAAAATTGTAACCCTATTTTTGACAGCTTTATTTAACATGTCATGCGTATTTTGTTTAAAAGCAATCCTAATTTAGGAAACTAACAGTAGGCTAAACATAAGAATAAAGGAATAAAATGTTCTTTCTTGTATTTTTTTGTTTGGTTGGGTTTTTTTGGTTTGTTTTGTTTTGGTTTTTTTTTTTGGCAGAATATGCAAGGTACTAGCAATAACAGGGCAGAATTTCTGAAAACCCTCGCAGAACTTCTTAGAATCCTTAGCCTTACATTCAATCCCTCCTCAGTCTGGCCCAATGATGTTTTTTTCAAATTCCTTTATCAATGTTCTTCTCACACCTATGACATTCCCTTCACCAAATAATTGAGTGTCTGCATGTAGTTCCTGGTCTTTATTTTAACAATGTTTTTACATATTCTGCTTGTTCGTTGAGTCTTCAGTATTCAAATGCTATGTGTCTTTCAAAGCATACTTCAAACATCACTTCCCCCTTCCTCTCAGTGGGAACTATTCTCCTCCTCTTAAAATTTCAACTAACACTTGTATTTGCATGACATTCATAATTTAATTTTTCCCTAAACTATACTTATTTCTGTACATTGTCTCACCTACAGGACAATGCTTTGCCCAGTAGTCAATTATTCCATGAATAAATGACTAAATGGAAAATCGACCAGATATAAGTTTAGAATTCAATATTAACTGTTTTCCTTATTACTAAATATCTTAGCACAAGCCCCATTTTTCCACGCCTACCAAATGAAATTTTTAAAAGACCACTACAAGAAAACTATATATCATTTCTAAGTATGCCATTGTTAATCTATTTTTGATGTGATTGATATGAAGGTCACCAGTACCTATTTATTGTTGAAGACTGCAAAGCAAAAAGTG